AATACAGTGTATTCTCGCTATAGTGTACGCCAGAGAGCGCCGCGATATACCGTATTTTGCATAATGAGTTGCCTTTAAATGTGATTTAATCTGTTTTTGAGTACATTATACCGTAATATAAAGTACATTATACTACTGTAGTTTGAAGTGCTTTTATAATTGCCTACAAATTACTGGTAAACACTCCAAAGAGATATAAATTAATTATTTAATGAGAGATTTTAAGCGCTATTAATAAATTAATATGCATTTCATGTCAAACAGACATCGGCTTATGATTAACGCATTTTTGCTAATCTTTTAATTATTTGATTAATAAATTACTCAATTATTAATCATTAATTAATAGCCTTTTATTATATAATTGTATAAACAGTATATTTTAGTTATACAGTACAATAGGGTTGGGGCTATAAATGGGTGCTATTTTGCATTGAATAGAGTATGAGATTTATATTTTTTTATTTTGTTAATTGCAATCAATTATGTAATGTATTTAAATGTATGCTTTTAATACATTACATAATGAACTTAATTATAGCGAGAGTACACTGTATTTTTATTATTTTTTCATCGAATTATTAATTTATTACTATAATTATATTTATTATACATATTATGTCTATTCATTGCATTTTTAGTTTAGTTTTTGTACCGATTTTTTCATGCATTTAATGTATTTCTTAATTATTACATGAGATTTGAATACAAATGAGATTTATTTACTACTTATCGTGTGATTTGTATTTCTTATTGAGATTTCTTAATATAATTCCTGTATTTCAATAACGGATTGTAATTTATTCTGTAATTTATTTTCCTCTTATTGCTGTAATTTTAATGTATTTCTTATTAATTATGAATAAATAACAAAACAATTACTCATATTATCGATACGTTATGTGTTTAATATTATTATTATTAGCTATAGACTAAATCATATATTTTTATAATCATTTCATACAATGAGATAAAATGACATTAAAAGCCAATAACTTATTGACTGAATATATTTAGGTTAAGTGTAGAGCACTTGAATATTCTGTGGGTCAGAGTGTGGGCGAGAGAGAGAGAGAGAGAGAGAGAGAGAGAGTCTTGAAAATGAAACCACTTTTGATTTTATTGGAAATTATCTATTTCAATAATAAATAATAATAAATAGTAGAGTGGTGTCAGTGATGATAAGCCATTCCGTATTGTCGGATCGGTATTACAATAAGATACTGTTTCCACTTATACCCCCCACACACACACCGTGCACTTATGACACTGTCTGAGTGGACAGTGATCTCTCGCAAGTGATACATAAGAATTTGATAATTATTTACTAAATAAACAAAAATTTTTGCGTAATTTTCTATTGAATTGACGTTTCTTTAACTGATTAACTAATCAGCGATTTTAGTGCACGTGTGGACTAAACCAATATTTTTTCTTAAGAGCGCCGGTATCACTACTATTAATGTCAAAGTTAATCAAATTATTGAAACAAAGTTTTACTACTATTTAAATCTCTAGTCTCTAACCTTCAAAACATGATTTGCTTAACCCTTGAGTCTAACGATTGAATCACTAATCCTATGGATTAAACACAACAATAAAGGCATTAAAAGTTATGTAATTATGTAACATAACATTGGTTTCCTGGTATTAATTACATAAGAAGCAGTGATTTGTTTGAATTGTTTGATAGTTAAGTACCCTGGGTGTTTATATCATATAAATTATATGCATTATCCTCTATCTATTTACCCATATTTGGCATTCAATCGCATCCTAGAGGTTCATACGTACGTACAGACTGGCGGTCCTATTACTTAGTGCATTGAAGTCTCTTATAATCAGCGATGGCTTAGAAAAACACTTCAAATAAGTGATTAAACAGTCTATTGTAGTCTAAATGCGATAATTCCGGTGTAGGATAGTAAGTGCATGCATAACAAATATCCTTGATAATTCAGAGATGTACCTGTTATACTTTTAATACTTTGTACACCATGAACTTGTTACATTATTTAAATAGTTTGTCAACAATTTCTAGATGTTCATGTTTTTAAAAATGATTTACTTTATTAAGTTTTATTGCCCTAAAAGTACATAAATACTACTGTATAGGTATAAATGATATAACCTTTGTACGGTGTCAAGCACTAAGAATTTGCACAATATTTATAAAATATCTAATATTTAAGTGCAAATTATTTAACTGTATGAAACATAAGAATTTTTGATAATAATTAAGTGTTTT